CACAGTATTGCACAATAGCAAAAAATCTTCAATTGCCCAGTATTGCGCAATAGCAAGAAATCTTCAATTGAAAACAAATACAAATGTTTTAACCAATTTCGATGGGATTAATTAAGTCTTTAATTTTTGGAGGTTCTAACCTTGTATAATATTTTATACGCCCGTTTACGGGACGTATTATGGTATACCGTTGACCGTCCGTCCGTCTGTCCGTCCGTCAGTCCGTCTGTCTGTCCGTCCGTCCGTCGTCAACATGTCGGACATTAACTCAAAAACGCTTTTACCAATATGCATGAAACTTTGGTGAATTGTTTATATCTATTGACGTGAGCTCCCTTTCGTTTTTTATAAATTTCGAATTTACCGTTTTCGAATTTTGGAGTTTTATTCATTAAAAAAGGGGGGATTTTCCAGTTTTCGGACAATAACTCAAAAACAATTTCACCAATTTGCAAGAAACTTTGGTGAATTGTTGAATGCTATCGACATGAGCTCCCTTTTGATTTTTATAAATTTTAGACCATACGTTTCTGATTTATGGGGTTTTATTCGTTACAAAAAGGGGGATATTCCTGTTTTCGGACAATAACTCAAAAATGCTTTCAGCATATTTTATGAAACTTTGGTAAATTGTTTATATCTATTGTTGTAAGCTCCCTTTTGATTTTTATAAATTTTAAATTTTATGTTTCCGAGTTACAAGATTTTATTCATAAAAAAAGGGGTGATTTTCAAGTTTTTGGACAATATCCTTAAAGTGCTTAGAGCAGTTTTCATTAAACTTTGATGACTGATTTATATCTATTAATTAATATATAAGATAACCTCCCTTTAGTTTTTTTTTATAAATTTCTAATATAACATTGAGAAATTATTGAACTTTATTTGTTTATAGTCTGACAACAGATTTACTAGTATTGCGCAACATCACAGTGTATTGCACAACAGAAAGAAATCTTTAATTGAATATAAATTCAATTCATATAACCAATTTCAAGTTCTTTGACTACATTTATTCTTAAATCTATAATATGTCGAATATTTAATTACAATCCAAATTCAGACCTGTATCAAGCTTGAATATTGTGTCCATTTTTGCCCCAACTGTTCAGGATTGGACCTCTGCGGGCGTATCCAGCTGCGCTCAGCGAAGCAGTTTATTTTGGATATTATGCCCCATTTTTAAATTGGTCTACATTGAGGTCGAAAGGGTCTAAAATTAAACTTTGTTTGATTTCATCAAAAACTGAATTATTGCGGCTGTATGATTTGCTGAATCTTATTGTGCATTTAGATTTTTATTTTGGGCCCTGTTTTTAAATTAGTTCATATAAAGGTTTGAAGGGTCCAAAATTTAACTTTGTTTGATTTCAACTAGAATTAAATTATTGGTGTTTTTTTTTATATGCTGAATCTAACCATGTTGTTAGATTTTGGATATCAGACCATTCTAGGTAAATTAAATGTCCCATTTCAAATTTTAAAGATCTTTGACCACATTTATTTTGTGTCAGAAACCTATATTATGTCAAAAATTTGATCACAATCCAAATTCAGACAGTATCAAGCTTGAATATTGTGTCCTAAATTGCCCTAACTATTCAGGGTTCTTTTTTTGCAAGCAGGGCAATTTTTCCTTTTCTATTACTAATATTTGTTTTCCTTTCCTTTGTTTTGGTGTTCTGTTGTCTCGTTCTTGTGAAGTGTGTATTTCTAAGTTGTTTTGTTGTGCACATATTTGTAGTGACTTTTCAGATAACAATGAGCATGGTGTTTTCATTACTAAATAACTTGTGGCTGTGAAGATCATAGGTTGGTCAGATTTCATGTGTTTTCATTCCTAAATGACTTGCTTGCTGTGGATCTCATATGTTGGTCAGATTTCAATGAAAACGGTGTTTTCATTACTTAAGGACTTGTGGGCTGTGAATATCATAGGTTGGTCAGATAACAATAAACATGGCGTTTTCATTACTATAGGACTTGTGGGCTGTGAATATCATAGGTTGATCGGATTTCAATGAACATGGTGTTTTCATTACTCAAGGACTTGTGGGCTGTGGATATCATAGGTTGGTCAGATAACAATAAACATGGCGTTTTCATTACTATAGGACTTGTGGGCTGTGAATATCATAGGTTGATCGGATTTCAATGAACATGGTGTTTTCATTACTCAAGGACTTGTGGGCTGTGGATATCATAGGTTGGTCTGATTTCACTGGACATGGTGTTTTCATTACTCAAGGACTTGTGGGCTGTGGATATCATAGGTTGGTCAGATTTCAATGAACATGGTGTTTTCATTACTCAAGGACTTGTGGGCTGTGGATATCATAGGTTGGTCAGATTTCAATGAACACGTTGGTTTCATTACTATAGGGATTTAGGCTGTGGATATCATAGGTTGGTCAGATTACAATGAACATGGTGTTTTCATTACTAAAGAACTTGTTGTGGGTTTTGGATATCATAGTTGGTAGATCACAGATGTAATTATTTGTGAGGATGTGTGGTTCTACCTGCAAGAATTTAGAAGTGTATGATATTTCGCTATCAGCTTTTTATGGCAATATAATAGTAATTTATTTTTAAAGCAAACCGGATCAGGAGCTGTCTTATCTTTCGTTTTAGCTTAATGTGATTGTTGATAAGATTGTAGATATACTGATTTTGTTCAGACATTATCCCTAGTGTTTTGGTGGAGTGGCACCAGTTTGCTAGTTTGTAAAACAAACTAACTAAATAATGAATAATCCTTTTTTTTGTTATTTTTACATTCGAGTTCTGTACATATTTAATCTGGATGTACCTGTTGTGATGTTAATGTCGATATAACAGTGTAGAACGAATTGATTTCATATCGCAGGTTCAGTACTTTGAGCTTGCGTTGGTTAAGAGTGTGCATAAAGCAACCAATGTCAATCACTGAATTACAGGCTCCAAACTTGGGACAGGCACATAGAGAATGGACTTCAATACGGAAAAGATAAAATTGAGAATGGAAATGGGGAATATGTCAAAGAGACAACAACCCGACCAAAGAGCAGACAACAGCCGAAGGCCACCAATGGGTCTTCAATGCAGCGAGAAAATCCCGCACCCGGAGGTGGTCCTCAGCTGGCCCCTAAATAAAATTGTGTGCTAGTTCATTAAAAATGGACGTCACACTAAACTCCAAAATAAATATAAATGAACTAAAATTAAAAAAACATACAAGACTAACAAAGGCCAGAGGCTCCTGACTTGGGACAGGCGCAAAAATTGTTTTGTTCTTTCAGTGAAGAATAAATTCAAACAGAGTCTCAACAGGTGTTTCAAAAAATGTTACTTTCTTGTATATTACATAGGAATCGATGTGCTACTCTACACACCAAATATGTCACACAATCAAAACTTTTACTGAAGAATGTTTATAAAGGATCTATACATTAATCGTTCCTAACACACGACTTCATACTTTCAGACAGAGACATATATATATATATATACATGTATTTATGTGTCTCCGTTTCAGAGAAGAGGAAAGTTCAAAATAGATCAGTCAGAAATAAGATTTGCATTTGGCAGCTAAATTTTCTAGAAGATCAGAAAAGGGACCTTCCATTCTTTATTCATAGAAATTTTCAATTTATTGAAGTAGTTTCAGAGGAGATAGTATTAATGTGAGTTGTCTAACCGGGAACTGTCAAGCAAGATGAAACCACAAAAACCTAATTGACCTTTTAAGTCAGGTAGGCTGGAAATTTATGGAAGATTCAATGTTTCTTAATTTTCCTCTGCTTGTGGTAAAATGGTCAAACTATATAAAAAAATGTTACATCCCAAACGATTTTAAGGTTTCAATATATCATTTTGTATGAAAATCACCATGAGAAATTCCAATATCACGAACAAACGTGGATTCAGAGTAAGTTATGGATAAACTTTTTTACATATCAATGTCACAAGTTTTGTCGATGTTGAAGACTGGTAACATGCTTACAAATGTTCTTTTTGATGAGTAAGATGGACGTTTATGTTTGGTACATATTTTGTGCAAGTGACAATTGTCTAAAAACATATCTAAAGAAAATTCCCAAATACAAGGGCGTTGATAGAGATGGTCTCAATCTTGAGGTTCAGCATAACCTTTCTGAAAATGTGGCCGTGTTCATATATGCCACACCATTTATTCTGAGTACTGAAAAGTATGTGCAATTGGAAAAGTTTTAAGGCACGTCTGGAACTAGATTTTAGCTCCCGAAAATTAAAAAAAATTCTGGATTTTTAAAGGAAACAATTATAGCTAAGGCATTATCTGCATCACTGTCTCCGTGTGTTCTCCGAACTGTTATAATCTACAACCACTTCATACTTTAAGATTGGCATGTGACTTAGATTTTTCAAAGAATTTTTTTTACTTTACAGGGCATGTTGATAACCTAAACTTAATGTTGATAAACTAAACTAAATGTTCAATTATTTGTGCAAATTTATGAATAATCAGAATAACAATATGCATGAAATTAAAGACAGAATCATAAATTGAATGGAGCACACGAGAGCAAGACAATGTACAATCCTTAATGACCGAGAAATGGACAACAGTAAAACAGCAAGAATCACATTATCGTACCAAAATGATTTTTTTTTCTCTGTCATGGATTTTTTTTTTTAAATCTTAAAAGACTGATAGATATAAGGTGGTATAAAACAATATCTACTTTTAAATCATTTGATTGTCTGGAACCTGGACAAATCTGCAAACCTGTGATCATCTGATGTTGGGATTCTGAATATGGTATAATAAGACAGATGCAGGGGATACTGGACAAAGGGATGAAAATTGATAGTCAAAATATCAAAAACTTTGAATTTCCTCTCAATATAGTTGCTAACAATTCAAATTGTTTTTTACGAAAATTGCCTTTTCAGCATTACAGGAATTTGACCTTTTGGTGCAACTAGGACTTAAAATTTATAGGAACAAATTAATCATAAGACTGACAAACAAAAAATAAAAAACATGACATTTATTGATAGTATTTGTTGTTGGTGCTGTTTGTTTACACGTGGCTGTTGTTAAGAGTTCTAACATTATCTTCATTCTTCTTGTTTTTCGCTGTTTCTTCAATATCTGACGTATCTTCTGCGGTGGACTAGAAAGGAAGAAAAATAACAAAACATTAATGATTCCTCTTCGTTTTTTATTTTAAATTAGAATTATATTATCGAAGTTTTCATTTCATTTCAATGACGATAAAAATGGTGCCATATGAACTACTAGCGGTTCTTTAGCGCCTTAGCTCACCTACAAATTTAAATCAAGGTCTTTTTGCTTAACTTTTTGTTTTCTGTGTAATGTTTAAAAAGAAGTTTTTTGTCTTTTCATCCTTTCACTTTTTTTGTCATGGTTTACTTTTGTTTCTCTTCGCCTTATGATTTGTTTATGATATTCTTATTTTCGTGAACATTGTATGAAACACATATATTTTGTTATTCTAACTGACTTATAATAATTGTCATAAAAGTTGAAACAAATCTGAACAATGCTGAACTTGGCAATGCATAGAGATAATTATCTGGGACGAACAAAAGAACATTGCAATTTTCTTTATTTTTCAAAATAAAAATGTCCCAATTGACTTAAATTTAAAAAAAGACCATATCTAGATACAAAAAAAAATAATAATAAACAAAATTTCAGTATAACCTTATGACTGTATCAGTTATACTCACCGGTGATTGGCTGGTAGACTGGTGGTGGGAGAAGGAATGGTTGTGGTGGTGGGGGAATTGGGTATCCAACACCTCCACGTCCACTTAATCCTCTACCAATTCCTCCTAAGAAGAACGGAAGTCCCAATCCTAGGCCAAATGCCTGGCCGGATGTCAAACCACTCAGGAATTGGGCTTGAATGGTGCATGAGCAGACCAAGACAACACACAACACAACAGCCAGATTGTTCATTTTGTCTGAAAAGAAAATATTTCATCAGTATTTTATTTTGTAATTATTTCATATTTTACTTCATCAAATACCTAGACGTCTTTATGCAGTTCACAGATTGAAAATGTATTTAAATAGTAAAAAGAGACGTGTTTGTATTTCATGTAACAGATCATACTTTGACTTTTTATTATAATTTGTTGTATCAAAAAAATAGCTAGAATCTGAGTACTAGGCAAATCGTATGATTGTTTTAAAGCTGATTGTATAGGGTATTCAAGTATTTTATGTCTTTGGAGGTCAAGTACTGCAATAGGTTTATCAAATGTATTGCCTATTCCTTGTCGACCCATATAAAATGCAGTCGTTTCAGAGTTTATTTATTTATGTTTTTAACACATTACATGAATTAATTAATTTGGGGTACATGATGTACAGAAATTTTGACTAATTTTTACTTTCTTGGGGAGGGGTGGGAGTCTGATAACTATCAATCCAATTTTTCAAATGTTAATGTAATATTAAGACATTATTCACGAAAATTTTTTTTAAGTAAATGAAAAAAGAAATAGGTATAACTGTAAGATTCTAGTCCAAGGAAATCGCTTATATATATTGGAGAATTAAATTGAATAAATATTCAGTAACTAGAATTTTAAGTTCAATAACTTGTCGCCAAGAATAATGAAATTGGTATGAAGTAAAACAAAATGCATAAAAAAGACACATTCAGTTCATATTTTGTTCTCTCGTATTTATGGGATATGATATTTTTATGTATATTTTCTTGAAATAGATTAACTATTCTGAAATGCATTTCCTTGATATTTTGTTAAATATCAAATTCAGTTTCAAACTATTTAATTTCATTTGTCTACTTAACCATGGCATTTATGACAGAATTCATGGTCTTACATTCAGATTGTATACTTTAATCGCGTAATTATTTTTTTTTTATATTATATTGATAAATTAAGTGAAAACAAATAGAAATTTAAACACGAATTCCCTAGCTATCTCTAAAAAGTAAATAAGAAATAAACTATTTTCAAACATTTATAAAATATTATGCTTGAAAAAGTAATGGCAAATTCTTAATGACTGTAACCGTTTAGTATATAGAAATGATTCTTACCTTTGTTGTTTAGCACCAAGTGATATGATGTCCACAGCGATAGTGGACTTTTTATATAGGTATAGACCTGTAGACAACTTACATGCCTGATGGTGTGTTTATTCATTGTTTGTTCACCCCTTACATAAGACTGACAGATTTACATGTAAGTTACGTCATGTACTTGTAGTGGACAAGACAGAAGATATGTTTATGAGACAAAGCGCTAGTTATAATTCTTTAATGCGTACATGTACCTGAACGATAAATTCAAACAAATTAACAGTACAAGTATGACACGAGACAATTATTGAGAAAATGTGACTTGAAGTCTTTTTTTACAAATTGTGTCATTTTTATTTTATTTTGAATTCACAAATATTTTCTAATAACCTCTTCATTAAGTAGCATAATTTATTCGCTTGTTCTCGTGTTGTAGGGTTTTTGTCGAGCTTGCGACTTTTGACGCAGAAAGCTCGACATAGGGACAGTGATCCTGCGTCGGCGGCGGCGGCGGCGGCGGCGGCGGCGGCGGCGGCGTTAACTTACTACTTAAAAGCTTTATATTTTAGAAGGTGGAATACCTGGATGCTTCATTCTTTGTATATAGATGCCTTGTGTTTTGAAGTTTCCGTCTGTAATGATGCCTTGTGTTTTGAAGTTTCCGTCTGTAATATGTCCATTGTCCTTGACCTCATTTTCATGGTTTAGTGACTACTTGAAAAAAAAGTTAAGATATTTTGTAATGATAATTTCTCTCTTATTATGAGTAATAGAATAACTATATTTAGTATGTGCGTACTTTGCAAGGTCTTCGTGTCTGTCAGACAGTTTTCATCTGACCTCGACCTCATTTCATGGATCAGTGAACAAGGTTAAGTTTTCGTGGTCAAGTCCATATCTCAGATACTATAAGCAATAGGTCTACTATATGTAGTGTATGGAATGATCGTAAGGTGTACATGTCCAACTGGCAGGTGTCATCTGAACTTGACCTCATTTTCATGGTTCAGTGGTCTAAGTTAAGTTTTGTGTTTTGTTCTTTTTTCTAATACTATATGCAATGGGTCAACTATATTTGGTGTCTGGAAATATTTTACGATGTACATGTCAGTTTGGCAGGTTTTATTTGACGCTGACCTCATTTTCACGGTTCATTGCTCAGTGTTAAGATTGTATGTTTAGGTCTTTTTTTTCCTAAATTATAAGCAATACGTCAACTATATTTGGTGTATGGAATTATTGTAAGGTGTATATGTCTGTCTGGCAGATATCATCTGACCTTGGTCTCATTTTCATGGTTGATTGGTCAATGTTATGTTTTCATGGTTAAGTTTGTTTCTTAGTTACTATAAGCAATATGTCAACTAAATTTAATGCATAGATTGATTGTAAGGCGTACATGTCTGTCTGGCATGGTTCATCTTACCTTGACCTCATTTTCATGGTTCATTGGTCTATGTTAAGTTTTCCTGGTTAAGTTCGTTTCTACGAAACTATAAGCAATAGTTCAACTATATTTGGTGTATTGAATGATTATAAGGTGTACATGTATTTCCGGTTTGGTTTATCTGACCTTAACCTCATTTTCTTGGATCATGTTAAGTTTATGTGATACTTGTAGTAAAGCTTTATATTTCGGACAATCTGCATAAAATCAATGGTCAGTAAAGCAGGCGAGACATTTCATCGTGTGCACTCTTGTTATAAAATATGTAAGTTTTTAAGTTTCAGGCAAATGTTATAAAATTGTAATTTTGTAAAAAGAAAAAAACTAAGACATCATATATATATTTTTGAAGTTTCACTTGTTTAAATTCTATTTGATTATATATCTTCCACTTCAAATATAATATATATATATATTGTCATATCAGCACACAAGAGTACACATTTGCATCAGCCTCTCCTAAACCCCTAATCCTAATTTAATCTTTACCTGTTATATCAATGCACCTCATTTTTTGTTTCTTGGTTCAAATAATTTTGGGGTTTCTCTTAGCAAACGCATGGCCCGATGATCAAGTGAGCTATTCTCATCGTTTGGCGTTTGTCATCCATTTTTGTCCGTTGTCCATTTACTTTCACAATAATCTCTTCTGAAACTACTAGGCCAATTGGATTCAAAATAAGCCATAATCATCTTTGGGGTATTAAGTTTGAAAAATGTGTCCAATGATCCACCCTGCTAAGCAGCATGGCTAAAAATAGAACATAGGGGTAAAATGGAAGTTTTGCCTATCTATCGCTATAGATAAAGAAAGTATGACAGTGGTAAAAAATGTGCAGAAAGTTGGTTGATTGATTGATTGATTGATTGGTGTTTAATGCCACTTTCAACACTAATATGATTGGCTAATTTGTGTCGGCCAGTTTTTATTGGTGGAGGAAGCTGGAGTGTCCAGAGAGTATCATTGACCTTTGGCAGGACAACTGTCGATCCTAGTCATGTAAGATTAGAGTTATAGGCACGACCTACAAATAGGTCAACATAGCCAAAATTGTAAGTTGACTCCTTATAGGAGTTATTGCCTTAAATGACGATTTTAGGCTGTTTTGCATTTTGGCCAAAAACTGTAAGATGGATAGAAACTGTAAACATTAAAATGACCAACAAGAAAATCAACAGATGTGTCAACAAAGCCAAAATAATCAGTCCACTTCTTATGGAAGTAACTGACCTTGAATTATCATTTTTATCCATTTTTCCTTTTTTGGCAAAAACTAGAATACAGAAAAAATGATGAGCAATAAAAGATCAACAAAAAAGAATTGTTTGTCATGAATTATATTCTAGTCTATAATGTTGAAGAGTTGCCATTTTGGAGATGCGCATCGATTCTGGTGAGTGAAATAGGTTCTTTGGAGTCTCTTGTATAGCTTTGGTCATAGTCATGAAAGTACTTCTAGTTTTTATTGTATTGAATACATGGTTGTTAGGGTTGCACCAAGAAATGATAAATTAAAATCTTTGAATTGTTTGAGATGTAACAGGTTTTTTCATACATAGGCCATTTTACAACAAACAGGAAAGAAATTCGAGACAAACTTCCACTATTTTTCAGCTTACTTGACTTAAAAGGTCAATTGAGATATTATTGTTTCATCTTGCTAGACAGTTTGCTGTTGGACAATTCACATTAATAGTATCTCTTCATGCAAGATTGATTGATTGTTGGTTGCTTAACGTCCAGTGGCAAATATTGCATGCATGTTTAGGACGACCTTCATGCAAGATATAGATAACAGGCCACAATCATAAGAGTACACCATGTTCATTGTAATATGAGACGTATAAACAACTTAGGAATACACACTTCACAAGAATGAGACAACGGTTCACCGACAACAAGGAAAGGAAAACCAATTATAATAGAAAAGGAAAACGTCGTCCAGCTTGCAAAAAATACAACTTTTTGTATGAAAATCACCATGAGAAATTCCAATATCAAGATCAAACGTTGGATTAATAGTAAGTTGTTATGGATAAACTTTTTTACAGTTCAATATCACAAATTTAGTCGATGTTGAAGACTCTGGTAACATACTTACAAAATGTTCTTTTTGATGAGTATAAGCTGAATGTTTATGTTAATTGGTACATATTTTGTTCAAGTGACAATTGTCTAAAGACATATATAATGAATATTCCCCCATTTCAAGAACATGGAACGCCATGACTGCCTTATGTTGATGATCATCATTATATGCAGTGGTCACAGCATTATATGCAGTCGTGAAAGCATTATATGCAGTGGTCAAAACATTATATGCAGTGGTCACAACATTATATGCAGTCGTGACAAAATTATATGCAGTTGTCGGAACATTATATGCAGTGGTCACAACATTATACGTGCTTTGTTGGTGAAGGTGATGATCAGTGATAGTGATGATGATGATTGATGATAGTGATGGTGTTGGTTCAAATTCGGTAAACTTTGTAAATTTTTTATCGGAAATTGCCGAATCCAATCATAATTTGATAATGCCCGCAAACAAAACGAAACAGTTATTGATGTCATGTTATTTAGGCAATTCGATTGAAATCTTTATCAGAGAAAAAATAACACCTGCGATTGACTGCAAATTGGACAGACATTATTTTACTTTTAGTATCCATTTAGGGGTAGTTCATTCCAAGGAAATGATGAAACTAAAAATTGAATGCATCAATTATAGTTCTATTTATCTTAAGAAATACGCACGGCATAATGTAATTTAACAATAATGAATGATAATAATGAAACATTGAATGGCATTTGTATACTGTATGTCTCGGGTTCATTTCATATTGAACAACCAAAAGCTATATGCCACTTAAAGTCTTTAGTCAATATTCAGTGCCGTATTTCATATATATGTAAGACTCAGATCGACGTCCACCGGGAACCTATGGTCGAGGTCCGTTCCTCAAATCATGTGGTGCCATGACTGTACACTAAAACTATTACTGGAGTCTCCTCTTTTCGATGTCTTATATGATTTGATCATTTGTTCCCACTTTGATTTTTTTTTTTGATTTTTTCTGAATTGAACGTTTTGTTTTCGTATAATGCTGTCCAAATATACAAACATTTTTTTTTTATATTCTATACATATCACAATGGCTTATGTAAAGGAACAACAAAGGATAAAGCATCCCGTCGCAAAGAATGAACTTAAACAAATTAAAAAAAACGATAAAAAATAAATGACAACCGGTCAACCACAGACAGCAGATTCTGCACTTGGACAGAAATATTTTGCGTACATGAAACACGTCGATCCACTCAATCTACGTACGATGTCTCATTCCTATCATATTCATATGAAAAAAGGAGATATGGATACACGTTAATGAGGCAGCAACCCAACGACAAAGACGACCGTACAACACTAGAGTCATACAGTCGGTAACAATAAACAGCTATCTATACAATAATAGGAATAAAAGCCCTGTTTATTGATAATTTTCTATGTTTTCAATGTTTTTTGTGCGATTTTGTACAATGTACATTTACTCCATATCCTTTCATTTTCTATTCAATATATAAAACTCTGAACTGAAATAAGGAAATTAGAAAGTAGGACCAATTTACCAAGAATTTATTCTGCGTCAGGGTCATTT